TATCCTCCAGATAAAAATATATCTTAACCAGTTCCTTTTCGAATGCGAAACGAATTATTGAGATACACGTATTTTTCTTCAATCTTTGGAAACTTTTCTACGATCTTCGTAGTAAACGTATAGGTTAGGATACGCGTCGATAAGGAAGGGAGTTTTGGAATTTTCTGTCACGTGACAGATCGAAAGTTAGGAAATCAGCGTACGCTGATGGACGAAATGTGTTTCGAGTTTCGAAGCGACAGATATACACGCGTAGTTTCGACGACTACTACTTCGTTTCCATCCCTTTTTCCACGTCTTTTCTAACCCCCTTATCGGCTTTGAACTTGTTTCGCCCCTTGCCAAAGGGAAACTTACGACTTCTTTCGTATCTTTTTTCCTAAAAAAGAAGAAAGAATTTTTTTTTTTTCTTTAATTTTTCTCCCTTATCGAGTTCGAGAACGAACGAGAAACTAGAAGAGTGCGAGTTCCAACGTCGTTTTATTATTCAAACGAGTAAAATTTCGAGAAATTCGTAAAATGGACGGAAAGAAGAGAAGGAAGAATGGAAAAACGAACCATTGTTTCGTACCATTCGATCTTTTTAATTAAAACCACATCTCTGTTTGAGGTTTGAGAATACCATCTTCCAGAAACCCATAGATCGACCAATTAACCGTGCTACTTCCTTCTTTGAAAGAAAGAGATCAAGGGGTTTTCAAGAAAGTTTGAAAGCGTAGGGAAGAGGGAGGGAAACGAGTTAAAGGAACCTGGTGGCGAAACCGTTATTAAGATTACGGTGGGCCGCGCATGAGTAATGACATCCTCCTTTGCTTCCAACCATCGTTCCCTGATAAATTACCTCCTCCCTTAATTACTCGAGTCTCAACATTCCGTTTATGTCCGCATTTCACGTTTCAGTTGGTTCCAGGAATCGAGCTGCTTTTCCACGAAAATGAGGCACACGTGGGGAAGGAATTTCTTGAAAATGGAACACGAGTTTTTGGATATAAAAGTATGAAGATTTATAGATATTATCCATTCTTCTTTTTGATTTTGATCAAAATGATTCATCAGGTATGCAAGATTGAAATGGGTTTGAGTTTTATCTCAATTAGATTTTTTTCGAATTAAATGTTTCGTTCTTTCCTTGGTTTGGATTAGGATTAGATCCGATTGTGGTCTAAATCACCAATTGGATTTTTCTTTTTTTTCCAATCTTGAGATTAAACCTGGGATTAGGTCTGGTTTTGGTTGGAATTAAGTTTTACAATTAGATCTTTTACATCCTTTTTAATTCTCAAGATCAAATTAACCAGATCTCTGCTGTGTATTTTGCTCTTTCTTTTTCCCAATCTGGTTTTGGTGGAAATTAAATCTCAATAAATTCTGAGATAAATATTTTTACTTATTCTTTTTCAACTCCAAAATTAGATTTCATCAGACCAAATTAAAGCTAGAGCTTTCTCATTCTCTTTTTAAGAATTTATATTACTTATTCCTTATCATAACATAATTATTCTTTGTTTCAGTTTTAAAATTATATTTGAAAGATCAAAGTAAATCTCAGTTAAACCTTTCACTTATTCTTCTTTCAATGTTGAAGAATTAAGTTTATATGATTCTTCTTTTTTTTTAAACTCTAAGATTAGATTTAATTGCAAAGTTTTAATTAGACTTAAATCTTCCATTTATTCTTCCATGGAATTAGAATTACTTTCATAGAATTTCTTTCAACTCACACTTCATCCATCTTGATACGTCACATCTAAGATCTAAGTTGGATCTCTAACTTATTCTTCCTTCAACTTTTTCTTACACTTAAAGACTTATCCTTTATTCAAAAATTAGATTTACTTGCAAGTTAAAAACTCACTTAAAAACCTAAGACAGACTAACTTTCACTTGTTTTTCCTTAAAATTAAAATTAAACATTTCATCCCACTTATTCTAACCTAAAAACTTATCCAAGTTAAAATTTCACATTTCCCCTTGTTCCATTCATTTCTTCAAACTTATACTTTATCCATCTCGATACGTCTCACTTATTTTTCCTTCAATCTAGAAATTAATTAATTACATTTTTCACTTATCCTAAATTTCACGTTTTCACGTCTCTTATATCTTTCTTTCTGAATTTAAACTTCATCTCTAAATACATCTCAACTAACACCTAATATGAAACTTTAACCTTACAAGCTTCAACACTTACAGACTTATTCCTCCTTTCAAGATTGGATTTAAGATTGCAAGTTGAATACTCAGTTGTATACATATATCAAATTAAAATTACGCTTAAAGTTGTCACTCATCTAAACCTCATCCCCTCCAAGTTAAAACGTTTCACGTTTCCACGTTTCTTATATTTCTTCCAACTTACTTACTTCATCCATCACATCCGCGCAAAAGCTCATAACATCCTCGTTGAACGTTCCATAAATCGTGCAACTCTAATGTCGCACTCCGAGACCTAAAGAGGCGATGAAAGTTCAAGGAGTTCTTCTCCACCGAGTTTGCCGACGAGTCGTGTATGTCGGCCTTTATAACTTTGCCCATATATATATATATATATATATATATCGAGATATTTCGTGATAAACTCAAGTAGCTTGGTCACAGAAAGGTTTAACCATGCGAAACGAAGAAATTACGATTTCTTACCTTTTCTAGAGAGAGAGAGAGAGAGAGAGAGAGAGAGAGAGAGAGAGAGAGAGAGAGAGAGGGTTAAGAATCTAATAACTGGAAGAGGATTTCTAGAATCGTTCCTTCAAGTTTCTCTCCCTTTGAGAAACTCTCGAGATCGAGCTTTCAAATATTATATCGATTTATATACCGCATAAACGCGACGATCAAGGATGATAATCTCTTCTAATATACAAGTTTATTCGAGTGAATTTATTCGAGTTTTGCTGCTATCCTTTGAGAGAAGCAAAATTATTATTATTATTTTTTTTTATTTTTCTTTTTGGAAAGGGAATGGAGAAGAAATATTCGAACGACTGACTTTGTCCGTGGTGGATAAATGGAAAAAAATGAATAAATTTTCTCTGGGATGACACGTTGATTGGTGAGTGTAATTTGTAGAATTATTATATGGTTGATGTCATACAGTTTGGTTTTAATTTCGATCATCATTGGAAGAAATTTTTCCTGATTTTCGTCATTATGATGAAAATGTTGAATAAATTTTATGCAAAAAATAAAAATATATATATATATATATTTCTTTTTTAAACAAAGGAAAAACAAGAAATTTTTAACGTTACGAATTTTGAAACGAATTTTATATAGTTTTTGTTTCGTCGTTAATTGAATTTTCTTTCTGCTGGTTAAATAAATAAATTTTTCCCCCCTCCCCGTTTCTCTACACGGTGTAATATAATTCAAAGTAAAATAAATTCGTTATATTCAACTTCTCCAGTCATTCAGATTCCATTTCTTTCGTTAAAATTATTATTTGCAACAACAAATTGTATGAATAATAACAGCAAATATAGAATTATTAAAATGATGCGCGTATCGAGGTAATGTTAAAATATTACAGTTTCAGCTTCGTGGAATAACAAATTATTATTAGTAGATAATCCTAAATATCTACTTGTACGGATAAATTATGCAAATTAGTCTTAACACAAGCTCAATTATGTTTATCCATATAATATTGGATGTTTATTATTATTTCTTCCCTTTTTTTTTAAAAATAATATTATAACAGCGCGCGTTTAATTTCGAGATCATAAATTTAAATAATTCCACTGGAAATATATAATTCCAGTTTTGCTTTCTTTCTAATTTCTCGTAATAATAAATTCATAAATGGAATGGGTTGTTGCACGAACCCAAAAATATTTTGCACGAACACTTTTACTTTTAATATTTTCACTTTCGAGGTGGCATGGCTGTCATAAATCTATGACCACCATCTCTCATGACACTAATGGCTGCGTTACTCTCCACGCTAGTTAAATCATCCATACACATTCTACCTTCACGTTTTATCTCCATTCTTTTTTTTTTTGTGAAATATTTAATTTTTGGCAACTTTTCCTCCTCCCTCTATGAATATTTTTCCCTCTTTCGGTCAATGCGAATAAACATCCATGATACAAGATACAAGAAACGTGTCTTTTTATCTGATTTTTTGGTACAACACATTTTACGAATATTTTAATTCAAATTGTTTTCACTTTTCGATTTATTAAGGAAATACTTGTGTAAAATCGTTATATAATACTATAAATTCTCATTCTTTCAGAATATAGGCAAGAATAAAAGAAAATATATGTGTATTTGATCCTCAGTCGTGATTCGTTTATCTATACTACTTGCCGAATCAGTAAAGTCAGATGTTCTACTTAAACTCCCCATAAATCTTCTCCTTTCGATTTCCTCTTGAATCAAACTTATATCCCACGAATATATCGTAGCATCAAAAATAATTTATTATTTAAATTAAAAATTTATTAAATTAAATATCCAGAAAGAATTGAAGAAAAAGAAATTCGTCATTCGTTGATCCATACTACTTATTACATCGACAATAAATTCACTCGGTTGACCGATCACCAATATATTCTACTTATAAAAGAAATATCTATTCAAACTTTTTTCAAATTATTCACAACTCAATTGAATCAAGTCTGAACCGATATTTTCAATTTATCTCGGCACCTAGAATCGATCCTCCAAACTATATCCCACTCATATATATATATATATGTACATATAAATAAATACTTTAACAAAAAGATTTAAGCACGAGCACATGGAAAACGTGTACGCCATATATTAAAAGGAACAACAAGCACGTTCGTTAAAGAGAAGGAATCACGTTAGAACCGCGTTATCATTATCCGCGCCACGTGACTTTTCGTCTCGTGAAAATGTCAGGCTATAATATAATAGAGTCCCTTTTACATATATATATATATGTATATATATCGATCGGCCACCGTTTCACGTGACGCGCTATCCCCTCCCCTGTAGCACAGCAACACGTGAGGGGAAAAAGCGTTACCTACTTGCGTGAAGAAATAGTAGTAGACTTTCATGCCACGATCGGCGAACAATTGGGCGAAGTGGATCGAGGGACAGATGAAGAAGTAGTCGCCAACCACGTCCGCAACCATTTTTTGGTAAATGTAGCCGTTGTACACTTCCTCCCAGTCCGTGTACTGAAACAGAAATATTTTCACTTCGTTAATGGGGAAATTATTATCTGTAGAGAGAGTTAAGTTTTAATTAGAAAATTAAGAGGAATTATATGAATTTGTATACATGACTGGAATGGGATTTTGTTTTATTTAATTTTCAAATTTGCAAAGTTACTATGCAATATTTTATAATAAATCTTGTCGAATATTTACGATTACGCGAGAATAAAAATTTATTCGGTGAATTTTTGTTTATTTAATTTTTAAATTTGCAATGTTATACTATGCAATATTCTATAATAAATCTCGTCGAATATTTACGATTGTGCGAATAAAAGTTTATTATTTGGTGAATTTATTTAATTTTCAAATTTTGCAAAGTTATTATGCAATATTCTACGATAAATCTCGTAAAAATTTTTCAATTTTTGTTTATGAATTTAATTTTCAAATTTACAAAATAACTAAATTTGCAAGAATTCTATAACAATATTTACGACTCCTCCAAATAACACGATTCCTCCAATTATCTAATCAATATTTTTAAATATCAATTTCCCAATAAATAATATATAAAATTCCTCAAATTTCGATTCAACGAACTTGGAGTAATCTTGTTTTCCTCGCCTCCACTCTCTCCTTCTCGCCACGAAATTTCCAAAAATTGGAACCCTTTCGAACAACAATATCGTTCAGATTAAATTGGACGAATTCTCAGAAACGGAATGTTTTTCCTTTCGATTCTGAAATCGTTACCAGCCACCTTTACCTCTCTCCCTTCTTCTTTTTTCGCTTTATTTACGCTATTTACGCCATTTACACCGAGGGGAGAAGAATTTAAGGCTCCGATAAAAGCAGGAACTTTTTTTTTCTTTCCTTTTCTTTTTTTCTTTTTTTCTTTTTTTTTTTTTTGCCCGTATCCGACGTTTTCAAACGGTTTTAAACGGCGGACAATTTTCTGATTCTTTACGGCGCGGTGAAATTCACGGTTCCCAGTTATCGAGCCCCGTTTATCACGGTTATACCGTAAACACCAGGCCCGATCGATACCAGGCCGATTATTGCTCTCGGTTTAACTGAAAATATAAACGGCCATTGTACGGTGCTCGCCACCGCGATGTTGTTAATTGTCCACTTGAAAAACTTTTGCTGTGTATTCTTTTCGCTCGATGCTGCGCCGTTCGAATAAAATTTCTGATAAATTTATAACGAGAGAGTTTCAATTTTCTTCTGCGTGTCTGTTATATAATTATATACGGCGATAAAAATACGATTTTTTTTTTTTTTGCTTCGATTCACGTTTAAATCGGAAAGGAATATATTTTTATTTTGAAATTGGAGGAATATCTTAAAAATCAATTTTTAGCGAATTTTTCGAATTCAAAGTTGCTTTTAATTCGAAGAAAAGTATAAAAATTTTAATTATAAATAATAAATCGCGATTTATCACGATTTATAGATTCATTATCCGCCTCTTTACATCTTATTTAACAATATCAAAAATATTTAATATATAATTTAATAATGAATTTCTTCTTTTATGTTACGTTCGACGTAATTCTTCTTGCTCTTCAAACTTCACGATTTGTTAATCAACGAGGGAAAAAGTTAGAATTAGAAAGGTGATCAGATATCAAAATCAATAATAATCAGTGGAGAAACTTGGATCTCCTCCCTCGGTTTCAGGGTGAGACGCATAATCGTTCTCGAATAAACAATGAGGCCTCCATTGAGGAATTATCGAGCAGAATTTTCGTGAATAATGGAATTGTCGTTAATTGACGGGCGCAGACTTAAGGAGGATGATATTGGAGGCGAAAGAGAGGAGTTTGAAGTGCTCCTTCAAACGAATCGACATTGGAACAGTGGAAACTAACTACCAATGATTCTAAAGATTCTTCGGCATTGATAAAGAGCTTTGGGGGAGAGGAAAGGAAATGAAAGATGTGAGGTTTGCGCACGGATTCCATTTTGTTCGATCGTGATTGACGGAGAGATGGAATTTAGTATTAACGTTGTACGAGAGCGATGTCTCTGGGAATCAATTAAATCTTTCCTTTTGTTTTTTCAAATGGTTTCTTTAAATTGCAATCTGTACAAGAAGAAGGAATAATTGCAAAAGGTGTATTTATTCTTACTTCTGGTACACACGTTTTTCCTGTCTTTGAAAATATTTTCAAATATCTTTGAAAATTGTTTAAAAAGAGAGGAACAATTGTAGAAGATGGATATAGTGATTCTTACTTTTATAGTCTTGTCTTTAAAAATTGTTTAAAATGCAATAAGGAATAATTGCAAAAGATGGAGGGAGCTATTGATGATTTTTATTTCTGGTATTTCTTGTCTTTAAAAATGTCAAAATTGTTTAAAAAGAGAGGAACAATTGTAAAAGATGGATATACTGATTCTTACTTTTATAGTCTTGTCTTTAAAAATTGTTTAAAATGCAATAAGGAATAATTGCAAAAGATGGTACTGATTTTTATTTATAGTACAGTCTTGCTTTTAAAGATACTAAAATTGTTTAAGAAAAGAGGAACAATTGTAGAAGATGGATATACTGATTCTTACTTTTATAGTCTTGTCTTTAAAAATTGTTTAAAATGCAATAAGGAATAATTGCAAAAGATGGAGGGAGCTATTGATGATTTTTATTTCTGGTATTTCTTGTCTTTAAAAATGTCAAAATTGTTTAAAAAGAGAGGAACAATTGTAAAAGATGGATATACTGATTCTTACTTTTATAGTCTTGTCTTTAAAAATTGTTTAAAATGCAATAAGGAATAATTGCAAAAGATGGTACTGATTTTTATTTATAGTACAGTCTTGCTTTTAAAGATACTAAAATTGTTTAAGAAAAGAGGAACAATTGTAGAAGATGGATATACTGATTCTTACTTTTATAGTCTTGTCTTTAAAAATTGTTTAAAATGCAAAAATGTAAAAAATGTATTGATGATTCTTATTTCTGGTACAGTTTTGTCTTTAAAAGTATTAAAATTATTTAAAAAGAAAGAAATAATTGCAAAAGATATATACTGATTTTTAGTTCTATTCTTATATTTAAAAATATCAAAATTAATTTAAAATGCAATGCTTTGATATAAATAAAAAAAAATCAAAGAGATATCGATTTTTATTTTTGATGCCTGCTGTTTAAGTCACTGTTTCCCTCAAATTTAACGATATTAAAATTATTTACAATACATTTTGCATAGTTTCAAGAAAGTATACGAATAATAGATAAAAAGGAATAGATATTGATTCTGATCTCTTAGCTCAAGTAATTTAAATTTTTCTTTTCACCAAAAATCCTGAAAAACAATTTCTTTTCATCTTGTACTTCATCAACCCAACGTGACTCTCGTACTTCTATTCTCTTCAAAATTAAAAAAAAACCTGCCAATAATAATCCTTAATATATAACCAAAATAATCGAATCTCAAACTAAAACTTCTCATATAAGCATCTCATATAAGCACTTCTAATAATAAGCACGTGTTCAAACTCGACTTTCTCCTTCAATCAATCAAATACGAGTACGTAATTTCAAAATATCGAATCACAAAATAAGAAAAAGAAGAAAAAGAAGAAGAAGAAGAAGAAGAAGAAGAAAAAATGAACGGTGTAACTTTGATTGCTCTGAAAGATTGCTCCAACAAGTTTGATGAAACGAGACCTCCCCCCTCTCCTCTCTCACTCTGGGACCAAAGAAGAAGACCAGCTTGAACCCAGCGTGTAATTAACCTCCTCAACTCTGCCATCTCTCTCCGTGAAATCCATCTTGTACACGCCGCCGCCATTCTGGAAATATCCTGCCACTCGTGTCGTTCCCCTTTGAGGGAAGCATCGAATGTAATATCGCCGTTCCTTGGACACTGCCGCCCTTTTTCTTTCACGATGCTCGAAATCACGCCCTCACCCAACCCGAGATTCCTATCCTGTGGTCGAGGATGGTCATACATTTTAATGGGGAATCACGTTGGAATTAGCATACCGACTATATGGTGGAAGGGGTTGTCGATTAAAACAGATGCAAATGAACAGGGTGTCTTCTCCCACTATTATTTTCTGAACGATTACTGGAACGTCGCCCTCCCCTCCTCCCCATTGTTAATGAAACCTGTGAACAGATCTAATTCTATCCCAACATCAATCTATTGGAAGATTATGGTAGAACGGTTTGGTGGAAGAGGAAAACAGGAGGATTGTAAAATTGGGTGATTGGGTAATTTTAGAAAGATTGAATTTACTTGTGAATTATTGTTAATTGATATTTTTTTTAGAAATTTTGCCTATGATCGTGTTTTATGCTTGGAGGAAAAATTTTGAGAATTTGTAAGTTTAATTTCAATTTCTGATGAATTTTTTGTAATGATGGAAAAAAGTGATTAGATTTGCCAGAAATTAAGATTTATTATTAGTTTTATTTCAAAGTTTCAAAACATGTAGTTCTTTGAATATTCCAATCAGAAGAATATATATTCAAGTTAGTTTTATTTTTTGCCAATATGTATAATTGAAATGAATGCTATTAAAAGTTAAAAGTCGAAGTTCAACTTTCTTATTACAATGCCAAAATCTATAATTACTGTTCAACTTTTCAGAAAGAGATTAAGATATTTTATGTTATATCAAAAAAAAGAGAGAAATATACACTAGTCACTCAAAAGTCAAAGTTCAACTTTCTTATTGCATTACCAAAATCTATAATTACTGTACAACTTTTTAGAAAGAGATTAAGATATTTTATGTTATATTAAAAAAAAGAGAGAAATATACAAGCCACTCAAAAGTCAAAATTCAACTTTTTTATTTCAGTGCCAAAATCTATAATTACTGTTCAACTTTTCAGAAAGAGATTAGGATATTATATTAAGAAAAAAGAGAGAAATATACAAAATATACAAAATGTACAATTAAGGATTAATTCTCACTTAAATTTTAATTTATCATTCGATTACTTGTTTCCACCCACTACATACCACGCATTCCTAAACAGGATGAAATTTTGTCAAAGA